CAAAAGCGATCGGGAAATGTGGTGGTTTTTCATGTTCACGCAATGTAGGGTTTTAGTCGTTTGCGTGCAATGGTTATCAGTTCGACGCACGGTATATTTTTGGAAAGTGACAGGCCGATGGGGAAAAAAAAAAGAGGAGGAAGTAACCTTGCGATAGATTTAAAGCATGTGCCCTGAGCAACGGCGTGCGGCCTGCAGTAAACATGCCTTCGCGTGTCGAGGGGTGTGCGTGGGGGCACGGGGTGGGAGTGAGAGGGGGTAGGGGTTTGTCGGGGTTTGTTCGCGCGAGCACGCGGGAAAGTGGTTTTATAATAGGAAGGGGGCGAGAGGCGGTAGCAGCAACAGCATGCCGAGGAAGATAAGCCCTTAATTGAACATAAGATGCAATTCCAGAGCGGAGCGGGCCTGTTGTGGGGCGGGGGTGGTCCAGTTGTACAGAGTACGGGCTAGGGGTGGCGAGGCGATGGACCTCACCACTCCATTCTACACGAATAATAATAATAATAATAATAATAATAATAATAGCAACATTAGCAGACACGGACGGACCTTGCTGCTGCCCGGCCTGATAACCCTCTGACGTGACGACAGCGGCAGAGCGGGGCTTCGTTCTCGTCAGTAAAGCGTGTGTACCACAAGTCCTAATGATGGTGACGAACCTCAAGGAAAGACTACCGAACAAAAAGAAGGGAAGGGAGAAAGAGGGGGATGAGACGAAAATAAAACCAGAGAAAATAAAAAGCAAGGCACTCCTGCAGGAGTCAGCCTTGTGGCATCCCCGTCGTCCCCAGCTGTCCTCCATCCTGTTCCGGTTGCGAGCGCTCCTCCTGAGACCAGCTTGCGTCTGCCTGTCGCGCTGTCACTCGGGTTGGCCAGCAGTGATTGAGCCTATATTAAAAAGTCATTCAGTGTTGCAAAGACTGTAACAAAGATGTGAGTGGGTCGGACCCATCTGTTAGGTCAGTAGCAAAGGTGTTTTTTCGGATGCCTGTCGCCAGGTGTCACTGCCGTCATAAAGTTCATACGTCGCATGCGTTTATATGCATGCATACATGTATGTGGTTGGGCGCCTCGCCTCGCCCCGCCCCGGCCCCCGCTCTTGCCCGCTGCACCTTCGTAATTATGCAAAGCCGTTTTCATTGGGCCACGCCTCGTACCACACGCAGCGGGGCCCGCCGCCGCCGCCGAGGACGAGGAGGTGGAGGAGGAGAAAAATTTGCAACTTACTTTGACTCAGGGGCGGTCTGCTTGAGCTTGTGGGAAAATTAATACATGACACAGATTACCGACGCGCGCCCACACACGCGCGCCCGGTCTCTCTCTCTCTCTCTCTCTCTCTCTCTCTCTCTCTCTCTCTCTCTCTCTCTCTCTCTCTCTCCATCCCTCTTTCTCTCACACACTCATCACGACAGTGATGCGCACATTTATACGCACTTGCATTAAGCACTTTATTAGCTTGCGCTTGCACATATAATTCAGAACACTTTTCTTTGTCTCATTTGTGTCATTCCTTTCAGGGCTAACTTTTAAAAAGTGTATTTCCTAGCGAGGGACAACTTTGCTTGGTTTGTGTCAGACTTTCAATTTTTCAGTAATGATTAGGCAGTGGTTTTGGCAGTCCTCGCTGTGTTCCGGGCGTGGCGCGGGGCACGGACGAATAAATTGGCATATGTGGAATGGACCGGACCACACGGGGGCACGTCTACCTGCACTTGAACAATGCAGGCAGCGCTGCGAGCGAAAACCCCGGAGAGAAGTGAGAGGTGAAGAGAAGGGAGGGGGAGAAGGGGGGGGGGGTACAAAATGAAGTGGTTATGGAGTGACCGTCGTCGGGTAATGACAGAGGACTCACGGGGCAAGACAATTTACATCCTTGTGGCGGCGATCGTGTGATGGAGCTTCATACATTACAGGGAGGCAACTCTTCCGGCTCTCTTCCTATCTCTCTCTCCCTCTCTTTCACCCTTTATCCCATTCTCTCCCGCCTCTATTTTTTTCTTTTTCTTTATTTAATCCTTCAACTCTTGTGCACAACTACCAAGTTGAACACTTGGTGCACAACTAGCAGTGAAACATTTTAAGATGTTCAAGTGTTGCACACTGATTTACTCATAATGAACACCCCACCCCTTTCCCCTCCGTCTCTCTATCTCGCCTACTCTGTAAGGTCACAAGCCTTGCACAGACTAATGATTACTTTGCCGAATTATCGGGCGAAAAACTAAGTTTCCTTGTATTTGTTTTAATATTTGAATAATTATGCACGTGCAGTGATGAAGGCGCTGCGTTTACCTCTGCCTACAGAACGTAATCATAGGGGGCCGAGCATTCCGTTCGGCTGTGGTGGGGTTACACAACTCTGGAGGGGAAAATGATCCAAGGAACTACACTACACTATAACGGAACGGATCGAAGGTCTGCGACCTCTATTTTACTCGCACAAATGTCACAAATTAAATGTAGGAATAAGACCCACTTAGTAAAATTGTGTTCTATTGTTCGCATCAGTTAAGAGGCGTAAAGGCTAACGTCGCCTTCTTCTCGGCAGCATTTTGCGGTCGAGTTGCGAGGAGATCGAGTTTGGCCGCAGCCTGTGATCAGCTGGTGGCAAACCGATCATTTTAGGAAGCGCATTCCGCCGCAAGGCCAAGCGAACGGGCGGATGGACAGGCAGGCACATGTAAAGCGGTGTGCCCGGGCGGAGGTAAGACGACTGACAGACTGACTAGCAATTAGTGCGACCGACGCCCGATAAGGACTACTACTTAGGCCCTCGCTAAACTCATTGTGGGCCGCCTAGCGCCGGTGGAATAAAATGAAAATAAAGGACTTTCTCCTACTATCAGCTCCTTGAGGTCACGACTTTTATGATTATTTTTACACGCCACGGCCTATAATAGCCTTGGATTCCCTTCGCCCCGTGCCCAGTCTATGACCGTCGGACGGCGACCGGTTGAAGGGGAGGGGAAGGGGGTGAGGGGAGGGATCAACTGGTTGGCTGCGGCCAGGCATGGCGGAGGGGGAGGGGTGGGGGAGGCAGGTCGAAGGAACCGGGTCCCGAACAACCGGGCGCGCGCGTCCCGACCGCCATTATAGGACGACCCGGGGCCTCGGTCTGTCTCCGTCGCACTCGCATCTGGGCCGGGGTGCGCGTCCGGAGCGAGAGAGACGGAGCGACACGACACTTCGGACACGGCGGTGCGCTAAGAGTACAAAGTCGTCCAGCGATGGAATCTGACGCTACGCTAATCGCCTCGAAATTAAAATCGCATAACAGCCTAGTTAGGTCCCTAACCGTCAATAAAGTAAGCCCGGACTTTTTTTTATGCGCAACTTTTATTATCTCTTTGCGTCCATAAATTTATTCTTTTATTTTTTTATAATTTTTATCGGACGTGATTTTCTCTCTCCGCACCGACGATACGTCGATGGTGAAAAGTTTGGGGCCCCGAAAGGCGCGCCGAGGGAAAGGGAGGGGCGGGAGGCGCTTCTAGTGGCCCCTTCATGGCCCTAAAGGCGCCGGGGCAGGGGACCTCAACGACGCCCGGCGCCGCGACGCTTGACGACTATAAAAGGACACCCTGCGGCTAGACGGAGCGGGGAAGGGCTCGACAAGACATGCGTCGCAAAGAAAACATAATGACGTGTATACACTGTCACTTACTGACCCTCCCGTAATGAGCGAGTGCAACACACTGTATAACTCTACTTACAGGTTGTTCACTTGAGTCGTTTAGAAAGAATTCATTACGAAACATTATAAAATCATAGCTAAAGAAAATGACAATTTAGGCGTGCATCTTTTTGAGGGGAGTTAGTTATTGTATTAAGAAATCGTCAGCTTAAGCAGAAATTGTTTACATCCCCCAGGTTTTTGACTGGACATGCGAGCGGATATTCACTCACAGAGGCAGTCCGTCCTGCAGCGAGGCGCGTGTGTTAACAGCCTCCCGATTGGAATTCATTAACCTACGTAATTTCTCATTTGCATGGGACGTTACTCGGGCGTGTAACTTGCACGTTGGCGTTGATGTTTTAATTTAGGAAAGCTCTCCTCGCGCTTTTTCGCCAAAGACTGTGTGCAGGAAATTATACACACTGCGCGGCAGTCATGAGGCAGTTAAGGTCGGCAATTAAAATAAGAAAAAATGCAAAAAATGAAAATAAAAAATACATGAAGCTTGCGCCTCCGCCGCTACAACCACTGCAAGAAATAATATGACGGAGGTTTTCTTTTTCGATTTTCATTTTTAATTATGATTATAATTTTAACCCTTGCTGACTTTTAATGTGGACAGTGAGCGCATTTATGACATGCCGGGAGGCGAGTGAAGATTTACGGGGTACCGAGCGACGTGCAAAAATGTTGCTGTAAATCACAGTCTTGTTAGAAAAAGTGTGTACGTTATAAGGCTTGAACTATCGCGCGCAGATTTTGTCCATGATACGTCGCCATCGGCCACCCTGCCTCTTGAAAACGAGTGGGTTGGTTTTATTCGAAAAGGGTAAACAAGGCAGGTGCCTATTCAGGCGAAGGGCCCAGCGGCGGTCCGGCGTTGCCGCGGCGAGCGGCTCTGGCCGGGGCGATCCATCGGCCCCTGTTGCCGCATCGGCCAAGATAGAGCTTTATCCCCCCTGCTTCTTAAAAAGTCGCCGCCCTCCTTCGGGATCTTGCCTCTCAGGTTAAATGGGTTTCACCGGGTTTCGCTGTATGCTGAATGGACATGGGGCGACCTTTTCACAGAAACCCGCTTTGCATTGTATACCGCTCATGTGATCTCTGACATGGCAGAATGTTGTTAGACACTTGTAAAAATTTTCCGACCCGTGGAAAGTCCTCTCTTTCTCTCGCCCGCCCTCTCGTTTCTCATCGGAACGAGGACAAAACTCTTCGGAACGCCAACGACCGACCGGACCGCAGACCTAGGCCGGTCGAGCGTCCAACTTTACAACACATTCTGCCGTCCGAGCCGTCCTGGCGACGCACCGATAACACTCACCTGCTGCTGCGACCAGCTGGGCTCCTCAAGATGCAGTATCGGGTCAGTTGCCGCGCCATGCCTCGCACCGCTTCTTCCGAAGAGATGCAGGGAATCCACTTTTTGCATGGCAGAGAAAAGCTTCAAATCCAGAAAGCAACTCGAAGTACTTGATGATAATGACCACAATAAAAATCCAAAATATCGGAAAAAGGGTCAAAACATTTCTTGACGCACGAGTTTTGACGGTTGCGATGATAAGGAATCACTTGCACGGAGTAAGGTCGGTGACCCCTTCCGGTTTCGGTGGCGCCCGCACAACCCTTTGATGGCTGCGGTGGCGGTACGCGGTGCACGCGGCCTTGTCGCAGGTCGGGTTCGCCCTGGTCGCGCGCGCGGTGCTGCTCCCCTACGAGCTGGCCGGCCGGGCCGGCTGCGTGTCGCCACCTTGTAGTGGATGTACTCGCCAAGGAGGCGACCGTCAGACTGAAGACGATCCTCGCCGGACTGACTGGGAGGAAGTGAACCGAAAACGGTAACTGTGACTGTGTGTGTCTGTGAGTGTATGTACGTGTGTGTGTGTGTGCCATCACAATACCCTAATGACGGACTGTCCGTACTACAAAAACCCCTCGCCGAAACAATATGACCCAACCGGGCATAATAACAGTCTCCGGTCCTTCCTAGCAGATGGAAAAGGACGAACGGACGGGGGGTGGAACCGACAAAAAAAAAAAAGTGCCGTTGACTTCCTTTATGCTCGTCTCCGCGACTTTTGACTTTCACTCTGAAAATAACAGAGCGTGTCGCCAAATCGCTGCTGGGTCTAGTTGACCGCTGCGCGTCCTTTTTACAAAAGCTGCGGGCCTTTTTATTTAAAAAGATGCTGCTGGCGCGCGACTTTCTCTCCGTCTTTTGTTGCGACGGGCCACCCTCTCTGTTTGGGGTCCCGTTAGACTTGCGCAATAATGGGAGCAGAGCGGTTCGGCACGGAGAGACTGAGAGAGAAGGAGAAAGAGAGAGAGAGAGAGAGAGAGAGAGAGAGAGAGAGAGAGAGTACGCTGATTTTCCCTCTCACTCGCAATGGAGGAGATGCAGCACTGATCGGTCAGCATTCGCTTTATTCCCTATCAGGCCCCCCTATGAAAACTTAGAAAAACAGTACCTACATCAAAAACAATTAAGTCGCAGGTCGCACGAATACCGATTTACTTGGGTCTCCTTGTGATGAGAAACTCGGAGCACCTCATGCTCACGTAGTTAGTTGATAAATTTCGCGGAAAATAAGTTTCCTCTCCTGAAGTAAGCACCGCGTATAGGCAGCTGGTCCTGGGGGAGGCTGTTTAGTGATCGGGCCACCTCATTCAGCGTGGCGCAACCCTCTAAACCCCCTACCACAGGCGGCCGCAGCCCCCACCGCCCCCACCGCCCCCTCTCGCCGGCCCCCTGCCGCCCCCTTTGCCTACCCCCCACTGCTGGATCGGCCTACACCGCGCGGCACGGAGGCCCTCCATTTTCACGTAATACCATAAAATATTGAATGCGGTTCAGGGTGCCGCGCTCGGGCCGGCGGCGCCGCCGAGAAGAAATTCATTCCGGATCCTATAATAGCATTGTCAAGTGCGCGCTAGGTGAGATATGCGCCTCCCCCACCACAGCGCCGCCGCGCGCCGCCGTCGCGACGCCGCCCCATGCCCCTCCCCCGCGTCCGCGCCGCGCGTCCGCAGCCACCTTTAAATCACACGTGAAATAAAAAGACACGCGCGAGTGTGAAGTTATACGGCGCCATTCTCCCTCCTCCTCCTCTTCCTACTCCTTCTCCTTCCTCTTCGCATGTATAATAAAGCCCTTTCTGCATATTCAGTGTTTTGGTGTTTAGGGGGATTTGCTCTGGGCCGGGCTACATACCGAGAGCGCGTCCAAGACGGGCCTCTCCGTGGCGGTGTTGTCCGAGCTCCCCCCCTCCCCTCCTTTTCCTCCTCCCTCTCCCACTCCTTCAGCAGCACCAGTAACGGCGACAACGATACGGTCCACAACATCCTCCTCCTTTCCTCAAGTAGTGATACATGACTGTCGGTAATGCATTCAATCTGTGTATTATCGCGCCTATGGTATAAGGATGTAGGTGTGGGAGGTGCGAAGACACACATGTAAAGTTTACATGGAAAAATATTCGATAATTTCCTTTAACATGACACGTTGTATTTCCCTGTACTAATATTTTTCGTTTGAAATAACGATGGCCATCAAGCCTGTCACAAATGAAAGACTACACGAGATCCACGAAACAGTTCTGCCCTTCCCACCTCCCCCTCACCGCCCCTTGCAGAGTCCACTTTTCCGAGGAGGGGCGCGTACGCTCGCGCTCCGCTTTCCACCGCTTTTGCGGCTCCCGGGGCTCGCCCGAGTGGAACGGATTACGCAGATGGGAAAATAAAGGCTTTTCTCGCGACCATCAGCTCATGCAACGGAGAGCAGCAGTACCCCCCCCC